TTTGGCTAACACATCAGCCAAACTTGGTACCCATTTAATTTTGACTTGTATATTTCTAACCAGCCACTTAAATCTTTTTTCAGTTCATTCCAATAGGTCCACCCCACCTTCTCCCTATTCAATAAGCAGCCTATTGCCACCTTGAGTCACCTCCAATGATTAATTTTATTTGGTCCACATACCTTTGACATCATTGTTCCCCACCCAGTTCCGAATAATAGCCTTATAAAATGATTTAGGGTAAATTACAGACTGCAACCTTCTACTTTGGGGGTAGTGACATAGGATTGAAGACCAAGAAATATCTCAATGTGGCCTCTTTTTTTAAATTTGTTCAATAACCCATAAGAAGGGAGAGATTGATGAGGATGTTGCCCATAGAATTAGAGCAGGATTGGCAAAATTGATGGGTGCATCAAGATTCCTAAATGATAGGAGAATACCACTTAAGCTAAAAGAAAAATTTTATAAAATGGTTACAAGGCTAGTGATGTTGTATGGAGCATTGTGTTGGGCAATCAAAAAATAACATATCCAAAAAAGGAGTAGCTCCAATAGGTGATTAAATGAGGGAAAGTAGACTAAGATGACTTGGTCAAGTACAAAGAAGACTATCTACATCACTAAAGAAAAGAAGTGACCTATTACAAGTTGAAGGGTCTAGATGAGATGGGGCCAGACCAAAAAGGACATGGGTGAAATCCTAACTAGAACAGAATGGCACAACATGATTTATTTAGCTGATCTCATATAGTTGCCTAGTTGGGACAAAGTTTAGTTAAGTTTAGTTGAAATCCTAATTCAATTAGGAGAACCAACTCCTAATGCAACTAGGATAACCATCAATGACTCGTTATCAGAAAATAACTACTGAAAAACTACCATGTAGATGTAGAAGTATTTAAAAATGCACAAAAATCCAAATATCCCACATTTGATTATTTGTTCCTACATCATTAACTAGCTCAAATAGAACAAGTCATATGAATTAGGACCAATTAACTCCCAGCTCTTCCACAAGAAACCAAAATAAAACTAGCATGCATGATAGCTCTACTACATGGGCTGAGATTAGGGAGATCTCTCAACATAAAAAATCTGTGAATAGAAGGTGATTCCAGAACTGTCATCGGATGGTTGAGCCAAAATAAGCCAGGTTCATGGTGCTACGGACATAACATGAAAGAGATTACAACTCCTGAAAGGGAGATGAATGAGCGGTGTTCGTGAGTTCAACTGAAGGAAACTTCAATAGGCTCAGGCTGCTCAATAGAAGTTTGGTTGGGCAATTTGTCAATTCTGAACCAGATGTGGAAGAGGTGTGGGCTTGGGCTTTGGCTGAATGGAAACTGAACAATCCTTTCTAGGTGAGGAGACTGAATGTAGGTTCTTTTCTTTTTTCGTTTAGCTGTGAAGATGAAGCTCTTGATGCTCTTAATGGCGAACAAGATCAGTTACATTATCTAGAGCTAAGGTTGGGAAGATGGAACACTTGTTTGGGCTCTAAGAAACTTGGGGCCCTCAAGTTTTGTCTGGATAAACATTTTTGGCATCCCTTTGCATGCATGGAGTTTTCAAACGTTCAGGGCAATTGGAGATGCTTGTGGTAATTTTCATTTTGTTGATTCAAGAACCAACACTTGGAAGAACCTCTTTTCTGCATTATCCTAATCGAGGTTGAGGAAGCCCATTTTGTTCCTGCTTCCTTGTTGCTTCATTACAGTGGAGAACCGTATGACTTAAGAATGGTGGTGGAAGGGTCTTACCCTGGTAGATGGTTAGACAACATTGTTCAATGGAAGGAGTGGTGTGTTCCCTCTACATCGACTGGTTCGAAGTTGAGGAAGTTGTTCGGGCTCCAAATAGATGAAGAAACAGAGGTTGAAGGTGAGGGCATTTCCAGAATAAACATTGCTAATTTTGATAGCGAGGTTGATGGGATGGGGCTGGTTGAATTTTGAGGCATTGGGAAGGTGGAGAGGGATCGATAGAGGTATTGAGTAGTGGGGACCACTTGGATTCAACTGAATAAGTAAATAAAGGTGGCACATGTGCCTTAGAGATTAATGTAGCAGGAGGGAGGCCAAAGACTGAAGCACACGTGGTGGACCAAAAACATAAGGGATCGGGACCTTATGAAGGAGTTGGAAAAGTTTTGATGCTTTCTTTTGAGGAGCCGACTGTTGGTTTAACTGGGCCCACTTTCAAAAATCAAAAGAAAGGAAGCAGGTCAATGTGTCAGGTCTAAAGTGCAATAGGTGGAATTCAGCTTTGTTTAAACGTCCAAAAAGATGGACAAGATCATGCAAACCCTCTCCAGTTAGAACTCGAAGGGGAAAGGAAGATCACTGGGAATGGGTGACTTTCAGGTTCAAAAAAGGGAAAGAGGAAGCCACAGTGAGAACAATGGAGGGGAACATAGGAAGCAATATTGTTCAGAGCCCTGGCATAGGCAAGAACGCACCTGTTTGCTGCAAGCAACAGGTGGTGGAAGCTGAAGGAGCAGCTCTGACGGAGGATGCTGGCACTTCATCTTCGATTTCTCAGGTAAATAAAGTTTTGCCCCGAGGCCCTTATGAGGACAGTAAAGAAGAGGTTGGGCTAGAGGAAAATTAGAAGGTCTGGAAAGGGTTCATGGCCGACTCAGGAAGAATTTCAAGAAGTGACAATGGAGGAAATGTCAGTCTGGATGCGGTTTTCTACTCACCTACCCGAGTTAAGAAAAATGATACTGTTCAACGGCAATTGAAGGAAGAGTGACTGGTGATTCAGGAAGGAAGGAGGAGGTTGAGAAAATTATAGGTGTGGTGGAAGCAACGAATGTCTTTGAGGAGGTGGTGATAGGAAAGTTGGGTATGGACCTAGGAAGAAGGAAGGCGACAGAGTTAGATTCTGTTACTCCTGTTGAAGAGGTTCCCCTAGAAACTACAAGGGGCTAGGAATTCTCACATTGTTCACCTAACCTAGGTATTCTCTCGGTTAAAACATGGTTTGGTTGGTGCTGGACCTACAAAAATTTTTAAAAAGGTTTATAAAAGAAGAGGGGGGAAGCTTATAGCTCCATCATTTGAAGAGTTTGGGGAGGTGGATTCTTCGGCTCTCATCAGTTCAGACTATCAGGTGGAAAAAGAAAACGAATCAGCTTTCAGTTCTGAAGTGAGATTTGATGAGAGCAGTCTTGAGGAGCAGAAGGAAGGATCTAGAAGAGTCCCTATCAAGAAAATTGTTGAGAGAGAAGTCGAGATTGGTAAAAGTCTTGGCTTTTTTTTTTTGGGGGGATG